GAGAGAGAGAGAGAGAGAGAGAGAGAGAGAGAGAGAGAGAGAGAGAGAGAGAGAGAGAGAGAGAGAGAGAGAGAGAGAGAAAGAGAGAGAGTCTCAAATTCTTATTCGCTCGTAAGACCCGCACTGCAGGGAGTGCCCATCAAACAAAAAGTTTCGTTTTACTACCTCTGAGTCTCCTTTCCCGTGGCGATTTGTGCTGCATGCCAAGTTCAAACTGAACCTGTATGATGCTCGTTTTCTCTCTTTCCTGGAGGCTGAGCCCCTGAAGAATACGGTGGTGGACTTCATCGCAGAAGTTTGGCTGGGAGAGGTAGTGCCAGTTTATAGAAGAAAGAAGTAAATGACAGGGTGCAGTGTTGAAAGTTGAGTAAAGGTGTTCACTTATGTAATGTGATTGATGTTTTGTTTCGAGAGGATTCAGAGGAAATATGCTGCAAAACATTTCAAAAAGATTAAAAGAAAACATTTGTTTTGCAGTGTTGAAATGACCTGACCAAACACGGACTGAGGCACACAGTCGATTTCTGAGTTTTGCTCAAGGACTAAATGCCTTGCTGAGTTTGCCATTTGTAAATGAGTTCTCTAAGCCTGTGTGTGTGCACGCTTGCTGGTCTGCATGTCTGTCTGAGTGCTTGTTGGCTTGAGTGTGTGTGACCCGCAAGGGCACGTGTTCGTTCAGTGGGCCCGAAGGGCCGGTACTTACCTGTGGCCGTGACATTGAGGATTGCAGAGGGGACAACACTCAAGTGGCGGGGAAAGAGGCCTGCGACACGTGAAGCAGCGGGTAGGCCGGTACCACACCAGGTAGAGGTAGATGTGCCCGGTACTCGAGGCCGAGCAGAAGAAGACACAAGTTGGCATTTTTAGAGGCTAGGTCTAGGCGGGTACCAGTCCAACCAGTCTGAGTCTAGGGCCTGTACGGGCAATATCAGATGTTTCCCTCTGAAAGGAAGGAGGTACCGGTTGCTTGGAGGCCGCGTGGCCTGGGAAGTCACTCGCCAAGAGACAACCAGACAGCTACATCTTCAGGAGGAGCCAGTAGGTCCTCCTCATTCTCAGTGTGCAAGTTTGGTAACACACTGGTTGGAGTGCTGGCTGGAGCAGCGCTATCAAGGAGCAGCGCTATCAAGGAGCAGCGCTGCTGGGGAGGAGCAAGGACAAGAGGAGGAAGAAGACCAGGACTAGGAGGGAGGAGCGCCAGAGGTACTTACCTGGCTATGGTGGTTGCCATCTTCATAACCTCGGTGGACGCTGCAGCAAGAAGGCCCCAGTTGGGGTAGAGCTACACGAAGCAGCTTCGAGGCAGAGTCAGGCATGGCGGCCTGAGCTAGAGCAGCCATAGCTGCTTTGTGTTGTCCTTCGGACATCAGGGCGGCGCCCTAGTAGTCCGCCATAGCCTCGGCCTTGGACGAAGGAGGAGGAAGGGTGGCCATGGCTATGGTGGACCTCATGTGATACCTGCAATAGAAGAGGGATTCGGACATTGATTCTGGTTCAGCCATTCAACATTGTTATTATTATTTCTTGTGTGAATAAGAGAGGAGGAGAGTGGCTTCGAAGAAGAAGAGCATTCTTCTTCTTTTTTCCCTCTCTCTCCTCTCAAGTTCATTCATTTCTTTTTGCAAGTGGACGGCATTGTACTTTCTGATGAATGCGTACTTCGAAATCGGGCAGGATCATAACAGTGTTAAAAAAATTGGGACATTGAAATGAGAACCCCATGCCCAATTGTATATATGGGATATTTGGAGGATATCCTTGAATAAGCAAGGACACTCATCTGAAAGCGCCAGTACTGTGGAACCTAAATTGCTGAACCTAAATGTTTTGCGGCCGACCTCAGGCCATATAAAAAAAGAAAAAAAAAAAGTTTTGCGCCCGAACAAGTTGAACCAGTCCACGGCAGGGTGGTACATGGAAAGTGCACTCTCCTTGTATATTGCCAGAAAGGACAGAGGACGAGGCCGGACGACGAAGGAGGAGGACGGCAAGATGGAGCGAGGGAGGAGGGAGTACAGAGAAAAGGAGGATGCAAATGATGAATGGATTATGAGGATGATGGTGACAGTGATGACTTAGTTGATGATGACGAGATCGACTCTGGCTGTGTCTGAGGGGGGGAAAAAGGACCGCACGCAGGGTAACCAAGCCAGTTGAAAAGGGTGCAGAGACATTGTGATCCGTCATCCGTCCGCCTCACCATCCGTCCGTCTGTCCACCCATCCATTCACCCTCCCACCCGTCCACCCACCCGTCCACCCACCCACCCATCCATCATCTATCCATCACTTCATCAATCAATCAGGGATGAAGGGGGGGAGGACAACGATGATACGGATGGGGGAGATGGCAACGACGATGGAGAGAGGAGGATGCAGGTGGTGGAAGGAGGAGGAAGGAGGAGGAGGAGGAGGCCGGATGGAGGGAGGAGGAGGGAGGATGAAGAGAAAGAGGACACTGCTGAGGATTGAGGAGGGAGAAGGAAGGAGGAGTATGACAATTATGGATAGAAAATGAGGGAGGATGGAGAGAGGAGCAGGAGGGTCTCCGAGGGAGGACAGGGACGACAGAGGATCAAGGGAGGAGGAGGAGGAGGTAGGAGGATGACCACACTGCATCAATGAATCAATCAGTCACGCTGCGGTGGCAAGGGAGGGGAGAAGGACGATGACGACGCATCAATAAGTCAATCAGTCATGCTGAGGTGGTCCATCACTCCATCAGCCCACTCACTCACTCCCTTGCTCACCCAGTCACTCACCCCCCCCCTCCCCCCCTCCACCCCTCCACCCCAGCTGGTCCGTCCGCTCCCCACCCATCCACCTAGCCACTCAATCACTCACTCAATCAATCGATCAATCAGGGAGGAGAGGAGGGAGGACGCTGGCCGCAATGGATGGAGGCGAAGGAGGGAGGAAGGAGGAACACAATGAATGGAGGAGGAGGGAGGATGGACGGAGGAGGAGGAAAGGAGGATGGACTGAGGAGGATGAGGGAGGAAGGACGACAATGATTGCCAAGACGTGGAGGATGAAGGATGGAGGAGGAAGTTGGAGGACTGAGGGAGAACGACAACGATGGACGGAGGATGGAGGAGGGAGAAAGGACGGCGATGATAGAGAAGATGCGGAGGACGATGGATGGAGGAGGAGGCTGGAGGATGAAGGGAGGAGGGCGACGATGGACTGAGGAGGGAGGAGGAAGGAGGAGGGAGGAAGGCAATGATGGATGGGTGTTTGACGGAGGAGGGAGTGGGACGATCACAGCAGACAGAGGAGGAGAACGGAGGAAGAGGGAGATGGAGGGCAATCAATTAATCAATCAAGTCAAAGGAAAGCAAAGCAAACCAGACCAGACCAACCCAACACAACCCAACCCACCATCCCACCCACTCACCCACCCACCCACCCACCCACCCACCAACCCACCAACCAAGCACCCAATCAATCAATCAATCAATCAATCAGGGACAATGAGGAGGGAGGATGCTGATGGCGATGGAGGGAGGAGGATGTAGGATGGAGGTGGATGATGGAGAGAGGACAGTCAGGCTGACGTGGCAACCGACCACAGAGACAGAGACAGAGACACAGCGAGAGAGAGAGAGAGAGAGAGAGAGAGAGAGAGAGAGAGAGAGAGAGAGAGAGAGAGAGAGAGAGAGAGAGAGAGAGAATGTCTGTGCTTCTCCGCACTGCTCACTGGAACAACCATCTGTCCGCACTGCACTGCGCCATGCCTGCCACATGTTCGCTGGGCTGCAGGCGTAGCCACAGTGAGTCCACTTGTTACTATAAATAGCAAACAATACACAATAATATAGTAAGTCATACAACCATTTAATGGTACTACAATTAAATGTAAAAAGCAAATAACACAGATATTATCATATTAACCATACCAATAATTATGACGACCGTAATAATGTCAAAGGTCACATAAACCTGTGTCAGGTACTCTGCATCCGCCACACAAAATCGAGGATGGGAGGAAGTCGTTCTAACCTCTCGGTTAAGGTCAATCGTCGCAGCGGCAATGGACGCAAATGGAAGAAAGTCGTTCTTGTACAGCATCACTTCCGGCGGCATAAATGGGTATAATCCATCTGGCGAAACTTCAATTTGTAGTTTTCCCGCTCCCTGCACCCTCTCTATCGCAACTGGGATCGTTACAATGTATCTCGTCCCGGAGTGGCCTGACACCTGTATATGGCCCGGAAACATGCCCTGTATGTAGAGGTAGACCATACAAAAGAAGCTGCATAAGCAGAAAAATCAGTGATGCAATGCCAATCACAAAAAAAAAAACAACTTTGTGTTTCTTTAACTCTTTTATCACCCTAAAGGGCCTAAACATTAAAAAAAAAAAAGCTCAGAACAAACTTAACGAAGGGTTTAAAAGGTAATTAAGGGCATATATGCTCACATCAGGACACTTTCTACTAAGCTCTGGACGTGATTGCAGTCCGATTCATTCATGCAGGTCTGGCCATAATTGCAGTCAGAGATACATTTAGGAACGTTCTACTGTGAGTATGGGCCTAAGAAGTTTGCAAAACCTTAAAAAGGCACGGCTACGCTGGACATAATCGAACACCAGAGACACCCGACATCCAGCATCGGACACCGGACGGTTCGGACAGGATCTGGACATTCAGATCGGGATCCAGACCAGGGGGTGTGACGTAAAGAACATACTTTTTATCTTCCTTTTGATTCTTGTTTTCCTTAAACTTTGGCTGTGAATTTGGGCAGGCCCATTAGTCAAAAGTTGTTTGTTTCCCAAATGCTGCACATTGCCACAACATCCTTTTTCCCAGAAAAGGTTAAATTAATTAAAATAATAAAAATTCGAAAGCTCCAAACGTTCAGATTTCTGCAACCCGGACCACAGACCATCTGAACCTGGTCCTTGTTTGAGGGTGGGTCCGGATGGTAGCCATGGTCGGGAAAAACAGTTTGAAGTCTGAACACAAACATTGATAAGACAAAAAGAAGCGTTTTTTTTTTTTTTTTTTTTTTTTTTTTTTTTTGGGGGGGGGGGGGGGGGGGGGGRAGGGGAGGGAGAAGAGCAGCTGTTGGCACCTCGGTGCGTTTTTTGAATTTTATGATTTACGTATAAAAATTTACATAATTTTACTTGATCAATAAGAATAGTAGAATGCGTTGAATTGTGAAAAAAAAAAAAGAATAGTAGAATACACATATTAATATGATATTATGATATTACACATTCTTTAATCATTTTTGTAATGGTTATTTGAATTTAGAAACAAGTCCGGCAGTGTCACACTTTCAGTTTCGAAAGGACAAAAAACAACAAGTGCGGGCAACAAAATCCGGTGTGGAGTTTGAAAAGGGCGATATCGGTAAAAAAAAAATGGCTGTGGCCCGCGTGTGATTTTCTTGCCCTTTTCAAACTCGGCGCGCGAGTTTGTTGCCCTTTCCAAACTCGGTGCGCAGCGGGGGGGGAATGCTTTTGTTGCCGTTTTCAAACTCGAAGCGCCGCGAGTTTGTTGCCCACATGTGATTTTGTTGCCCTTTTCAAACGCGTTTGTGCCACTACCGAACTTGCCCCTTGAAATTATTTCACAATTTGGCAACAACTGCAGCTTGCAAGCAGTGTTTTTACCCTTAAAAGAAAGGAAATAATTATCTAAAGACTTTTTGGCATTCATCACTAACTGCATGTGTGAGGGTGGGAAAAAAAAGAAGGGGGTGAAAAGGGTGTGTCATTGAATCACTGAACCATCAGTGTCATAAAATTCACAAAGCAGCATTTAATGGAGACTGAGAAAACAAACTTTAACAAATTTCAATACATGAATGAAATAGCATGAAATGCATGGGATTGGCATATTGGGCAAAAAAGCCACAAAATGAATAATGAGGATTTTCATCTTTTTTTTTTTTAATAAAAAACTTCAAAAACAGGAATCAACCTGGCATTCTGCCCCACTCAAAGGAAACTAAGGACATATTGGGCAATTTGGCAACTCGGCAATTGTCACCAGTCATCCCAATGGGTATTAGCAGCTAGGTTTTAGAATGTACGCATCAAGAGAACCATCGAATCGAGATGGCCGGATTAAAAATATTAGAATTTCGGATGGAGAACAGAATTGGCACACTTCCGTTCAAAAGGACATCCCAGTTGAAATGCATCTGAGCAAACCGCATCGAAAACTGATTTTGGTTCAAGTTTCGAAAGGACAAAACTGCCTGGTCCTCTCTCTCTCTCTCTCTCTCTCTCTCTCACACACACACACACACACACACACACACATACACACACACACACACACACACACACATACACACNACACACACACACACACACACACACACATACACACACACACACACACACACACACACACAATGCTGGTCAGGGGCCCTCTTCCGCGAGACTCCACACCCTGTGTTGGGAAAACCGCGTGGGGCCAGGGTGGGCCCAGGGACAATGAAACGTCGCAGGCACGCTTGATTTTCATGTCAATTTACTCTGATTTTGACTCCAGGTGACAGGATTCGAACCTTTTTTTTTTTTTTTAACCAGGCCCGGTGCCCAAGGCTTGATATTACCAATAATCAGATTGAGGCCGGGGTCCTCACAATCTACCCGGAGTGATCAAACCGAAAAACTGCTGAGAACCGGGCTCAGCGTCCCTCAAATAGTTATAATGACGACCCTGATGATACTGATGATACCACAGATAATGATGCTAGATTCAAATATATGAAAAAATATAAAAGATTATGCTAAGATTCGAACCTATGACCCTCTGTACCCAAAACAGATGCGCTACCAGACTGCGCTGCACCTTGTTATGTTCAATTGGTAATTCAACTAGCTGACTAACTAAGATTGGATTGACTGGAACTGGTAAACTCATTGTTGTAGGTTCAAATCCTACATTTCTTTTTTTGGAGCCCGTTTTGTGTTTGCCCCGAGTCTATTCGGGCTGTTGTCTCCCTTGCAACATTTCCTTTCCCGCACGTAGTTTCTTTGAGGCAGTCTCTTCGGGGTTTGTCCGAATACACGTACATAGCAGATGGACGGCAAGCCGAAGATTCTGCACGCAAGACACGACTTACGGTGGTGCATCTGTTCATGTTGCAGTGGAAAGTTCATTCTCATTTTGCGCATTTGGTGAGCGGTGGCCCCAAGACACGCCACCAGTTTTCTACTTGAAACAACGGCAGGCGGGGCAGGTTTTTGAGTTCGCAAAGGCAAAGAAAACACGCGACAACTTTGAAGCGGCAATTTCGGTCGACGAGCATCCGCTGGCCTTTTCTTTTTTTCCCCTGTAAATATGACACCCAGCCTGACACCACGGCCATTGGTACTTTCATTGCTTTTTCAAACTCGTTGCCCGGTTTCTTTGCCGGCGCGTTTTTTTTTTGCTTATTCGATACTCGAAAGTGACATGAACGTATCTTTTTTAAGGACTACTTCTCTTTTTTTTTTTCACATGGACCACTTCTCGATTTATGCGTGTCATATGTTCAGGGCCATAACTGTTAGGGGAGGCAAAGATTTTGAACATGGTAGTGAGCTCAAACATGTCACGAGCTCTAAGCCAGGAAAAATCCCCATCGCACGCTGTTTTCTTTTGCTTTGGTGTGCTATTTGCAACCGCGCACGAAACTGAAATGCGTGTGGAACACGCAATTCAGGGGCTGTTCCAATACAAGTAAACAGCGGGTTAAGTTGACGTCAACCGAGATGGAAAAACATGCACACAAGACAAAAAATTAGCGCATGCATCTTTCCATGTTGTAGCAGAGGATTCATTCCTGAGTCCAGGTGGAGCAACCTCCAAAAGGAAAAAATGATCTCGGAGCTGGATTCAAACTGTGCTCTTTTCCTATCAAGGGTTAACTTAATGGGTATACCCTTCAGCCACACGGTGCTTGACTTTTTTTTTTGTTCTTTTTTTTCCTTTCTTTTTCCTGGGGTGTACCGGCTTTGGCCCACATAGTGCCATCTGGTTCACATTCTATGACCCCCCTCACGTGCAGATAGTATGAGCCACCCTACATAGTGCCACCGAACAAGCTTAGTATCACCCTGGCCACATAAGCCCGCGTTGAATCAAACCAGGCCACATAAGCCCGCATCATATGACCCAAGCCGCCCCTCATGGTATGACATGACCCACATAGTGCTGCCCAGTCCACATGATACTACCGAGCCCATATTATATCACCCATGCCACATGATACTAGCCATGTTTTTTTTTTGTGTGTGTGTTCTGGGGGTGTGTGTATGGAGAGAGAGAGAGAGAGAGAGAGAGAGAGAGAGAGAGAGAGAGAGAGAGAGAGAGAGAGAGAGAGAGAGAGAGAGAGAGAGATTTCAAACAATTACCAACATGCTTAGATCTTCTATCCAGTTTCCAACACTGTCATGAACTCTCCTTGCAACAATGGGCCTCGTTCGACACTCCTTGGGGGCGCCAGTCCAAGGAATTCATCGTCGTTCCACCTGTCCTTGGAGCCGATTTTCGAAAAGAAAATGTGAAAACACTTCCAGGACAAATCCTCGGGCTCCCAGGCAAATCATCCTCGGGCTCCCAGTCAAATCATCCTCGGCTCCGAGGGACCTCGCGAGGTCCTTTGGAACCCGAGGATCAGCAAATCGCAGGGTGGCGGCGTCAAGCTTTGAAGGAAATCTGGAGGCGGTAGGTGGTCCATTCGTGGTCCGACGCCGGAAGACGGAAATGTGGGCCCACCTCATCGAGGAGGTCCTCCAACGGCCTCCGGAGTTTACCGTTGGGGGCGATTCGCAGCATGGTGCATCGACATCTTCAGGCGGCCTGTCAGGGGGGTCCGTGGCGACCTGCAGACATCTTCGGCCGGCTCATTCGGGGCTCGTGTCGTTCGGGTGGGCCTCACAACGGTCAGAGTTTCGGATTATGTAGCCGTGCTCCTGACAACCTGGCGAAGTCGACGGTGAGGGCGAGAGGGGGGGGGTCGAAGATCCATGCAGGGTGTTCATCGGAGGTGGCGGACGGCCGTGATTTCGTTTCATCTTTGAGGGGTAGAGGCGGGCGCTTCAAGGACGAAGACAACGGGCGTGGGGGCCTCTCGATCGGCGACGCCCAACGATGCAATCTATGGACGAGGGGAGGGCGAGAACTGCTCTGCTATAGAGGTTGTAGGCCGGGAGGTTTGGAAGGATCATCGGCAACAAATGCGGC